ATGTTACGTCGTGTTATTCATTTAGTGATCAAAGGACCTCAATCAACATTCTTGAAAGACGTGCATATTATTGATATTATTTTGGTAGCCCAAGAATGCATCCATTCAAGAATTAAGGAGAATAGATTTAAGTTAATCTGCAGATTAGATTTTGAGAAGGCATATGACAAAGTTGATTGAAAGGTTTTATATTGCATAATGGGAAAGATGGGTTTTAGAGCAAGATGGAGATTATGGATTCAAAGGTGTTTAAATTCCACTCATTTTTCACTCTTAATTAATGGGAAAGTTGTTGGATTCTTAAAGCTTCTAGAGGTTTAAGACATGGTGACTATTTATCACATTTCTTATATACTCTGGTGGCTGAGAGCTTCGGTGCTATGTTTAGAGGAGTAGTTTCAAAATGTATTATATCTGGTGTGAAGGTTGGAAATAATAGATGGATAGTTTCATATCTTCAGTATGCAGATGATACTATCATATTTTGCAATCCATGTAAAAAGGAGGTTTCAAGTCAATGGATTTTTCTCAAATGTGTAGAATTGGTAACAAAAGGTTAGCATCGACAAAACCAAATTGATTGGAATAGGTTGCTCAGAAAATACAGTGGAAAGGTTGGCTGGTTTGTTGGGTTGCAGAGTGGAAAGCTTACCTTGCTAGTATCTGGGCATTCCTCTTGTGAATTCAAATCCTCCAAGATCTATATGGGATCCAGTCATTGAAAGATTTATCAAAAAGTTAGATTTGTGGAAAGCTAAGACTCTCTCTCTAGGAGGAAGGTGTACTCTTATTAAATAAACTTTATCAAATTTATCAATTTATTATATATTTTTACTCAGGATGTCAAAACTGATTGTTATGTGTCTTGAAGGGTTAATGAGAAACTTCCTTTGGGGTAATTATGAAAAGAAGAAAAAATTGCATTGGTAAGTTGGGAAAAAGTATGTGCACGGATGAGAGAATGAGGTTTGAGAACTAGAAAGTTGAAAAACATGAATTATGTTTTGCTTATCAAATGGTGGTGGAGAATTCATAGCCAACAATTCTTTTTGGGTGGAGAGTCTTAAGGGATATATGTTTTCTATGGCTTAATCAAAAGTCCGGGAAATAACACATCTTTGTCTCATGTTTGGAGGGGTATTGATTATGATAGTCCTATATGTCTGAGACATTTTCGGAAAGTGATTGGGAATGAGTAAAATACTTTATTTTAGTTTGATAAATAGCTTGGTGACTTCCCACTAAGATATTTATTCCTGGAGGTGTTTGCCAAAGTTACTACTACATTAGCTTCTGTTAAAGAGGCTAGTGGGGGATTTTCTATTAATATTGTTTGGTCTTTACCTTGCAGGTATAAAAGAATTTCTGATAGATTTATTGATGAATACCAAAAGCTTATAGAAATGCTTCAAAGTGTTTATATCTCATCAAATAAAGAAGATGTGGGATCTTAATCACTTTGAGGCCTTTTCAATTAAGTCAGCCTATGATCTCTTTTTTTTGTGATTGTAGTAGACAGTTAAATGTTGGACTTTTTAAGATAAAAAAGCTTCATGTGCTTTTAAAAGTACAATTATTCTAATGGATTTTGTGCCAAGATAAACCATCTACTATTGATAACTTGATAAAAAGGGGTTTCATTTTAACCAATGTCGGTTTTTTGTGCAAAGCTAATAATGGGACGGCGCAACATCTTTTTCTTTACTGTCCCTTTGTGATGAATATATGGGATTGAGCTCGTCAGTGTTTAAACCTTTCGATACATACTCCTGAAATATAAGTCAGCTTCTCCACCAATGGCTTACTCTTGGTATCTCAAAGATGAGTGTAATATTCTGGAGATCAATTTGGGCGAGCATTCTTTGGGGCTTATGGAAGGAACGATATAAAAAAATATTTGAAGGGTTGAGAACTAATACTTCGATGCTGAAATCCAATATTTTGGCACTGACAACAAATTGATTTTCGACACATAAAGATGCTAAATTCATCCTAGAAAGTTAGATCATTGTTAATCCTAAGGCAGTGGCTAGTTTATCGTCTCCTAAATCAAGTCGAATGGGCGTTGTTTGGACACCACCACCTGCTAATGCACACAAACTAAATTTTGATGGAAGCTCTTTTGGAAACCCAGGTGCAACGGGTTTTGGTGGATTGATAGGAGACCATATGTGCCATATTATTTGATCATATTTTGGCCCTTGTGGTGTTGCTACAGTTAGAACCTGAAGCTAGAGGCCTTTTGGAAGCCATTAACTCTTGTCAAGAATTAAAGGAGAGAAGATCATATAAGGGGATTCAACAAACATTATAGCTTAGAGTAAAGTTGAAGCTAATATATCATGGAGGTTGTGTTGGGTTTATGTGGCCTTTAAATGCTTTATGAGTGATTGTGATGAGACATTTGATATAGTAGATCATGAACTCAGTAGGAGTGTAGTCCCTCATGGATTATACCATGCAAAGGATGGTTGCAGATACCGGACTGTGCTTGATGGTCTAGGACAGTCAGTTGGGAAAAACCTATGTTACATGGGCATAGAGAATAAATCGAGAAGGGTTCGAATGAGTCATCTCTTGATGAGGTCGCAGTATATGCCCGGATGAGTGAGCCGATAGAATGTGTGACCCTTGTGTGTGATAGTGGCCTACAGAGACGGGTCAACGCCTCATCCATGTACTATCACACAATATGCATATTGATAGACCGTTTTGGGAAAGCAAGCAAGCCACATTTTAGGGTGAAGCGCATGCATGTGCGAGAGATACCCCTATGCGCCATAGAGCTGTGGTCGCATCAGGTCTAGGTAACATTGACTCGTCTCTAGGGGAGAACTTGAAATCCACAGACTGAGATTGTGACCTCTTAGCTCATTGGCCAGACTTTGGTGACCCACTAATGAGCTCCTGCATGGACTGTGGGTTATGAGCAACACTGGGTTGGCATTATAAAGCAAATGTGATCTGTAGTCCACAGTTGAAGGTAGAGTACCCAATTATTGATTTAATTCCTTGACCATATAGATTATTTTTCTATCAAATTAATTTAATTATGTTTTTTTTATGGTAGACATTATTTTAGAATTATTATTTGAATTTTTATAAATCCGTGGATATTTTATTTATAAAATTCGGGTTTATAAAATTAAAGATATTGATTTTTAATGATTTAAATATTCAAATAATATTCTAAAATTTATTTCTATTATTTTTTAAATATATGAAATTTTTTTTCGGGGCCTATTGTACACATGAGCCATTATACCCAAATTTTATGGGCCTACGTTGATATCCCTGGCGCCTTATTTTTTATTAATGGGTTGATTTTGATTCATCTCAAGTGGATATGAGATGATTTTTTATTAATGGGTTGATTTTGATTTATCTTAAGTGGGTTTGAGATGATAAGTTGATATGAGCTTTTGATATGGCTTATCTAAATAACTTTAAGTTGATAAGTGTACTCTAGATATTTGAGTAAAATCTTTTAGAATAATACCTCATAAGGCAGATGGATATATTTTAGATAAATATAATATTTTAATTAATTTTTTTGATGGGACAATGGTCAAAAGGAAAACGGGGATAATGGTTTCAGGAATAGATGACTCAGATCCTTCACTTTACAAATCACTTTTAATAGCCAGTGAAATTCAATTTTGTGTGACAAACATGATTCCAACCTATTCCGTAGTATGTTGATGACTCATTTATAGAATGAATGGCTCAAATCTTTTACTCACAAGTAAAATTCAATCTTATGAGACAAAAAATAAAAACTTTAAACTATTTTTTATAAATAGGTGTCATCCGCCTTTATTAAAAAAATACACATGACTCTCTCTCATCTTTATATCTCTTCTACGCACCTCTCTCAAGTCCCCATTCTATCTCTCCCTCAACTTTATCTTCACGCCCCCAACTATTCTCTCTCCCTCAACATCTTTAAAGGGTCACGTCCCATCTACTCTCTCTCTCTACTCTTATTAATGGGGCCACATCTCTCTTTAATTAAAATTAAATCTCATCTCTCCCAATTTTGGTTTAAAAACCAAATTAAAATTAAATCACATCTCTCATAATTTTAGTTAAAAAACTTAGGATTTAAAAAAAATAGAAAAGAGATATTTTTTAGTTAAAAATCTTAGGATTTAAAAAAAATAGAGGAAGAATTTTTCAGGGCGATATTTGGGGAATGGATCCCAAAGATCTTACGAGTGTATAAAGGTTCCATTGAAGAGCTTGACCGAAATTAACTTTTTCGGTTGAGATTAAACGAAGACCGTCAATCCCGCTCTACCATTCTGACTCGATGTGGGGTGTAATAAGTCCGATTGAAGTAATCTTTGGCACTCTCCACTTCTGTTTCTCATTGTTTCATCTTTATATTATTTAAGTACAAGAAATTGTTATTTTGTTGTAAGTGATCTTTTGACAAAACAAAAGATATATATTTATTAAAAAAATAATAATTATTCTCCTATGAAAGATCATAGCACTTTCGGATTGACTACAAATTTTCATGAGATATGAGATATTTTCAAAACTATAACTGTTGAAATCCACCATTACTGCATAGAGTCTAATGTTTAAGCTGATTGTCTTATAAAAGAAGGAATACGTCAATCTTCATTAGTGATTATTTCACTTGAATGAATTTGGCTGCATCTTGTAACTTGGTTTTCTTTTAATAAATATTTTTTTTTTGGTAACGTTAAAAAAAATGCCGAATCTAGACGACATGCATCATCTATACAAATTAAATGAACTAAATCAACAATGACTTACTAAATAATCATAACAATATAGTTCTACAAAAGGGTAGGGCCGTCTCCCTCACCCAAAAAACACAAGCGAGAAGGAAAGACGAATTTCATTAAAGGGACTTGCGTTGATGCCCACGTGGCCACGTAGATGTCGCTAGGAATAATAGAGATTTTTATAAGAAGGGTATATATTCTCTCTCATGGGGGATGGTCATGTCATTTACTATAAGAATTGGAATACATGTGACTAACTTTTTAATGAGAGACAAAAGTCGCTTTTTATTGGTCACACAGGGGAAGAAGAGGAGAGAGGAATCCATAAAACTCGCCGGAGCCGTACAAGAGAAGACCGTACGCCCGTTCGTTCGTGAAGAGAAGGAAAATTCTTAAGATTCGACGGCTCTGATCATCGATCTCCTTTTCAATTTCATTTTTCCGGCGAGTTTCAGACTTCTCTCTCGAAAGCTTTACGGAATATGGGGCTCTCTTTGGTGGAGGTAATCTCTAGAGTCATCAATGGCTTTCTCTGTGAACTTTGATTTGGCCAAAAGAGAAAGCTCTTTTTCTTTCTTTTTATTTTATTTTTGTTCTTTTCATGAAGCATAAAAGTGAGCTTTTTTTTTTGTTTTTCCTTCTTCCTTTTTTTTTTTTTCTAGTTTTTTAGTATAGCAGATAGATTATGATATCTAAACGTTTCTCTTTTGGATTTTTAGGGTCTCTACAAGTCTCTTGCATTGACAGTGCTCTCTGAGATCGGGGACAAGACGTTTTTTACGGCAGCTGTGTGTTAATGCAACTTTTTCTTTATTTTCCTGTGTTTTATTGCCTATGTTTTGTTTTTCTGCACTTTGAAGGAAGGATCATGAGTTTTCTTTTTCTTTTGGAGTTTCCTTTTGGTTCTTATTGTTAATTCTTTGCGGATTCAGAAATTGCAGTTGATTTGAGAGCTTACTTATCTATGCTCTTACTTCTAATTATGTATTCTGTTCCAATTCATTTATTGTTTCATATAAGGCTTGCATGAGGATTGGAATTACTCGACATGAATCAATTCCATTCTCTTAATTATGTAATTTCTTGTTTCTCTTTGTTTTGTTTACTGATAATGATCTCTGGTTTTTTCCCTTTATTTTATTGGCTCTCGTCCACAAAGTGTATTATGCTTATTGAAATAAACAACTTTTTACTTAATTGAGGTATTTATTTCTTGTTGATGTTGCTTCTAGGCCAAACCAAACTCAGTTAAGCATGAGTCAGCTTAGTTAGATCATAAGAAAGAAGACTTTTGTCAGTTTTGAATGAATTTGTCCTCCTTATTACTTATATACACATTCGAAGTTGTAGAGCTAGTTGATCCTTGAACGCGGGGATTTTATATCAATCACGCTATTGATACTATATTTAGTTGCATGTTACTTTTGTTTGTAACATATATACTCATTACATATAGGGAGAATATATAACGAGACCTTACCTTTAGTACAGGGTGGTTACAATTAATCTTGACCAATGGATGTGAAATTGGCTGGCTGCGTTTATTTCATTGACCAAGCTCAAAGTTCAAAGGAAAATTTCTTGAACTTTGTGACACACCCAAGACATCTGATTTCACATCGGATGGTTGTAAGTAATTGTGACTTCTCCGTACCAAAGTTAAGTGGTCCCTTACACATATTTTATCTTTCGCTTATATAGTTCTTATACCAAAGAGAGTGCTTGAAGAGTTGTATGCATCCCAAAGTTTAGTTCCTTTAGTCGTACACTATGTCAAGTGCTGGAAGAGTTGTACACATCCCAAGTTTAGTTACTTTAGTCATACTCTATGTCATATCTGTAGAAACCTAATTGCGGAGGGCTTTTTACAAGAACAAGGAAGATAGCTTTTCTTCATGCTCGACATTCTTGTTGCATGTTTCCTTGATGTTTTCTTTAGTTTTGGGTTCGCCTCTTGCTCTAGGTTAGGATTCTTTGATCAACTTGGTTTGGAGCCAATATTCGTATAAATTTCTTTAACATAATTGACAAGGAATGTTTTTACCATGAAAATTTGAGATGAAACTTATACCATTCTTTAGGAAGTTTGTTGTAACATTCAGGCTTTGTGCCCGGTGTTATTTGGAAAATCCTAAGTTGTTGGTTAATAAACCTGTTTAAGGTTTTCTATCTTCCTAATCGAATTTACCTTCTTTCATGATACTATGTCTCTTCAAATAGGGATCTCCCATTTGCTTTATTTTCTCATTGAAGCTTATGTGGCTTGGATTTGTATTTTGTGGATAAACAACAATTTAAGGGGTATCACAGTGCATTTTTGCTACATGATTCATTGAAATTCCCTAGCCAACCCCAAACAGTTGGGAGAAGGCCCTGTTGATGATGATGACGATTATTCATTGAAATTCTCTACAAGCCTGGGAAATTGCTCTAGATTTTTGGATGGGAAGAAGTATGCTCCATGTTCATTTTGCTTTGGAATTTTACTAAGGGGTGTGAGTTCTTGGGGGCTATGTAGATGGTTCCACTTCTAAACCTGTAGATTAAAATATGTTGGTAGCAGGGGGAACTAGGTGAGATCATTTCGTTGTGTGGTGTACTGCAAGTTTTAGGCATCATACTTGCTTTGCCTATGCCTCTATGTGCAGATAATTTCCAATACTCTGATAGTTGTCTTTCAGCTAGCCCATTGATGGGGGCTTTGAGTGAGAGTGACGAAGATGACATTTTCTGCATTTTCTGTTAGTTTGGATTCTTGTTATGTGGTTCTTGGATTTCTAATTCACTCTGGGGACTCCTCTATATCTATGGTTCAGGGAAAACCTCATCTAACAAACACTATATCCTTAGTTGCTTTTTGTTTTTTTTTAATGTCAGTGTTTTCTTAGTTGCTTTGATTGTTAAATTTCTAATGGAATAATTTCCTTTTGTTTTACATTATATATGTTTCTTTTCTTTATTTATGACTATTATACATTTGCGTATGCTATTTGTTCTCTTATATAATTTCTAGAATACATATTTCGTTCTGACTTCCATATGGAACTTCTGATGTTTTAAAGATCTTGGCAATGCGTCATCCTAGAAGGCTAGTCTTGGCCGGATGCCTTGTTTCTCTAATCGTAAGCTTGCTTCAGTTCATTCTTGCCTTTAAAGTCAACTTGTTATGAACCTAGAGTTTTTTTTCTTTTTAATAGATAAAATGAATAAAATGGACTAAGACTTAACTCTGTCGAAGATACTACATTTCTTTTGTTTTTGACTGTGTTAAATATAGATATATATTTCAAATGCAGGTGATGACCATTCTTTCAGCTCTTCTAGGTTGGGCAGCACCAAATCTTGTGAGTATCTTTCTTGCCAAAACTAATTTTTACTAACTCAATGATATTTCAATTTGGCAATAATCCTTTGATCGAATGTGTTTATGATTTGAGTGATAAATGGAAGTGTAGTTTTCTTAATATCTGGAAAATATTTTTGATTTCCTTCTAGGGGAAAGTATTGCTTTGGAAATGTTTTACTAAGGAATCTGTTAATGTGAATATAAGATTTTGTTACTATTAGATATATCACACTTAAAGAAGTCTTAGTAATGGGTTCATTGCATAAGTTTCACTTCTTTTGTTTCTTTCCTGTAGAAATTTGTGGTTTCTTAGAGTTTTAAGTTGTACTGACTTGCCAATTATTTCATACAACACATGAATTTCTGTGTTTAGATCGAATCTTCCACATTGACTAGTTATCAAGAAGGATATGGTCATGGCTGTGATTGATACAAATGGGGTGTGCTTTGTTCCATACCTAGCGGTCTCCAAGAACCATATCCTGCAGTCTTTTTGAATTGAGTTCATGTCTAATATATTTATATGCTTTTGCTTTGTGGCGAGAGAATTTTCAAACTATGTTTGATGGTGCATGGTTTTAATTGTACCTGATATTTGATGGTGCATGGATTTAATTATGCCTGTGTATCTGGAGGCTCTAAATGTTTTTGTGATTGTCTTTGCCCCTTTGTGTAAAGTTCATAGTGTCATTGGAACCAGCCCTTCCTTTTTCCCCTGAAATGTGCAACTTTGTAGGTAGGGTGTTCGTTGGTGACATCATAACTAGCTTTACATTGGCCAAGACTGATACACGCCATTCCCCTTTGCTATTAAATACGCAATGAGACGCGCTTCTCATTCTGATGGGCAGGGTGACTGGCTGTTGAAGGAAACATTGATCTGCTTCCACCTCCCCTCTCTCTATTGCACATGGACCAAATAAGAGTCGTTGCTACGTATGAACTTTTTTAGTGAGAAGAGTGGCGCTGAAAGTATGTTCTATGATATTAAGGAGGGTCACCATCACTCATTTTTTATGCTTTAGGACTTTAGTGATAATATGGAAGTCATTATCCAAAATTACAAAGCACCATTTGTCCAAAATTACAAATGTTTTGTTGGTCATATGGCTACTGATGGCTTTCCAAGTTTATTAAGAATATTTATATACCTTTTTTTAGTGTGATGTTTTGACTATGTTATTTTATTGGAATTCTATTTTGTGCAACATGGGTATGCCCTAGGTGGTTGTAGTTATATCTTTTAAGATCATGTTAATACATTGCTTTCTTGAAATAAATTTGATATATCTTTTATTTGCCAATCCATGAGGTAGTTCGAACTTTGAACTAGAAGTATTTAGGTGCTTTTCCATCAATTAGTGTTTTTGTAATTGTTTGCTCATCATGTCATTTGTCTATAACTTCAAAAAGGTAGTGCTGGATAGCAGTAATTGTGACCAAATTACAGAAGATAATAATGATATTTGTCATTTATTCATTTTAGGGCATGTAAGTCGCATATTGTCATTTAATTATGCCAATTAGATTCCTAGTCACTTGGTTAGCTTTGAACATGTATGTAAAGGCCAAAGCAGATAGAGTTCTACTTCAATAAGTAAGTAATTGAGGGATCCTAGGTCTGTTCTAACTTGGCTAGTCCATAGAAGTCCTTGTTCCTCATGTTTAAAATAGTCCTAGCAAGGTTCAGGGCCTTCATTTACAGTGTGCTTGAACTCTGTTTAAACAAGTCATTATGCTCCATGATGCGATCTCGTTCGTGTCACACTATAAATCAGCATTGTTGCATAAAGAGAAATGCAGGGGGTAGGATTGACCAAGGCAATGCTTTACCATCTTTCTTTTCCTTTTTAAGTTTTCTTCCCCTCTCTTTCCTCTCTACTTCTTCTCTATTATTCTCTTCTCCTTCTCCCCCACTCTATTATTATTGTCGTCATCATCATCGTCATCATTGTTATAATCGTCATCCTATCTTCTCTTTAGAATAAGAAAACACTGTAACGTTTTGACAATGAGCATCCTGTGCTTAGTTTTTATGTATATACATTAATTATTATATGTAGAGTTTCCTTTATCATGTATATTCGCTATTACTCCCTTGTTAGTATGCAAGGTCATTGATTCATTTCTGCCAATTTGTAATTACCATAGGGTAGTCTATAGACAATTCATTGGATAGCTTTTCCTAAGAATACTTCACACTATGGTCATTCAATGAAGCTCTCTATCATCTTGGAAGGTTTCCTTCCTTTATGGACTACACACACACACACACACAGAGGGAGTTCTCTTCTTTCCCCTAGAGACTCCTCCAGAGAGACAAGGGGGACCACCGGGGTAGTTTTTTTTTTTTTGGGGGGGGGGGGACGGCTTGGACAAGCACTCATATTTTATTAGTGCTCGAATAATTGATGCATTAATAAAAAATACTCGATAAATTCCATATAGACTGGAACCTAAATTGCAGATTACATTCTGTTTGTTCAATTGGATTGCACTAAATATTGGCCTGGAACTTTTATGAATCACAAGTTATTTGACTTAAACTACATACTTCAGAGACTTTGATGGAAGGTTTTGATGTTTTCTTGATCCTCTTGGCTGTTAATATTAACATGTGATCATGTTTGGTATGGTACTCTAAACACTAATCCACAAGGATGTTAGACCTTTTCTGTGGTTCTTTGTGCCTTTTTTTCTACTTCCATATGGACCACAATTTTACAATGTTCTTTCGATGTGGTTTACAGATTTCTCGCAAATGGACTCACCATATAACAACCATTTTATTTTTTCTATTTGGACTTTGGACCCTGTGGGAAGGATTCACTGAAGAAGGGTATGTAAGTCTGCCATTTTTGCATTGTTAGAACCTCCAGGGTACGACCTGAAATACAATGTGGTTTTGTTTTGTGATATATTAAAGACTGTGTTCTTCTGTTGACAGAGAGAAAGAACTAGCTGAAGTGGAGGCAAAGTTGGTGAGTAGGCTTCCCTTTTTTCTGTTTTCCTCTTTTGGATAGTTCAGCTGTGTGAGTCAAACTTTAGATGTAGCGTTGCCACCATCAATTGCTAACCACGCCAGTGCAAGCCCAAGCCCAAGCCCAAGCCCAAGCCCGATTCCCAAGAGGGGTAGGTCAGCTTTGTTTGGTTTTTTGGGACAAGCTTCAAGGATTTGAACCCTTGGCCTCCTTCACCCAAACTGATATATCTACCACTAAGCCAAAGCTTAAGAGACAAGTAGGCCTCCCTTCCGTGCATAGCTATCTGCATTCTCTTTTTCACTTTCTTAATCTCTCTTCATCATTCTTGTTATCCAGGATGCTGATTGGAAGGCCAGCAATGGTACGGCTAAAGCAGGTTCAAAGGTCAGACCAAGACCATAATGCTCCAATTTTGTGCTACACGATTCCACCTCTATGAGAAATTTATGTGCACAAGTATCTTAAACCATTTTTCATTGCATAGCTACAGTTACTTTGTAAATGAAGACCCGTGAAACGACGTACAAATGGGAAACATGCATTGCCTTCTTTCTTTGTTGGCTTACGATGCACCTGGCGACCATCACACTATTCTCTACTCATTATTATTCCATACTGTTAGGTTTCAGAAGATAATGACTGTGAAGTTCTCTTTTTCTTTTTTTTCTTTTTTTGCTTCGCAGATTGATGATGATTTGAAAAAGAAACAGCGACCATTTCTTGCACAGTTCTTTTCGCCAATATTTCTGAAGGTAGTGAAACAACTCATTTGATTAATATTCTTCAAGATCTAAAGTCATTTTTTGATGAGAACGCTAATCATTTTCTCTTTCTAACAATAATCTGGGAACTTGCCATTGCAGGCATTCTCCCTGAATTTCTTCGGCGAGTGGGGTGACAAGAGCCAGGTAAGAAGTGGTGAGAAACCATGTTGTTATCCTTTCTACTATGGAGAAGTGCTAAAAATTTTACCCATGACATTTTCAGATTGCAACAATAGGGTTAGCCGCTGACGAAAACCCACTTGGCGTGGTTCTAGGGGGGATCATGTATGTCTGGTTCTTCCCTTTATGTCATTCTTCTCCTCTCAATGGTTTTGCTTTTGTAATCTTCTTACTTTAAACTTTGTAATTTTTTCATTATTTTCCATGTTCCATATATTTCAACTGCAGAGGGCAAGCGTTGTGTACAACTGCAGCTGTCCTTGGAGGCAAGAGCTTAGCTTCTCGGATTTCTGAGAAAATGGTAGGACTTACTTGTTCTCTATTGTGCTTTAGCCTCGCTTCACCTGGATCCTTGGTCATCAGTTCGTTTTTTGTTCCTTCCCTTTTGCAGATTGCACTATGTGGTGGAATACTTTTCCTGATTTTTGGTATCCAATCATTTCTTACTCCCATTGGAGACTCATAACTAGTCGATCATCCCCAGTCCACTTCTATCCATGAAAATGCTGGGCATTGCAAGGGAGAAACATTTGTAAGACAGCTATTGAGGCTCTTATTACTTCCCTGCCCTGACCTGGCTATTCAGTTATGCTGTAACTGGTATTAGATTTTTTAGATACTTATCTAGGCACACAGGAAATTACTTTTTTTTTTTGGTTCTCCTTACATTGATATGTGTCAGTACTTTAAGGTATTTAGGTTTTGGGTTAGATTTCTCATGCTTGCCGGTGTGATGGATATACTGTCCAAGGAGTAAGTTTGAAAAATAAGTAGTGGCAAGCTATTTTTGATGCCAGGAGTTGAGTTTCATGGAGTGTCATGGAGGGGACTCAATACATAAGGCCTGGCAACTTGGCGAGTTTTTGGGGGACGTGGAGCAAGGCGGCTCATTTGAACCAACGGCATCCCCTCAGAGAGGATGTAGAAAGGGTGATTCTTTTGAGAAACCTTTAAACAGTTCTAGTTTATTTTGAAATGGTTTTTAAAAGTGGTGGTACAGTATAATTTAGATACCATTTTCAAATTTGAATGTGCATTGTTGATGGTATGAAATTTCCACCTTTTAGCAATCAACAAGGGGAGCAACCTTGCTTTTAAACCTCCTTTTAAATGTGGATATTGGGCTAGGCAAGCATGCTGTTTATGGGGACAAATTTCAAGGGTTGATTTTCTTCACCTCCCCCTCACAAACTGGGGGTATCTACTAATTGGGCTGAATAATTTAATTTCTTGTAACAAGAGAAATGAAACTAGGAAAACGTGAGAAGCCTCAGGTGAAACTGATAGTAAGGCTTATACCCATTGTTTCCCTGCATCCGACTTAGCTGAAGCTGAGGGAATACCCAAAAGTAGGGTTGAAGTAACTTGGGTTACTATCATGGTTGCCAAATGAGAAGGTTTTTTCAAGCTATAACCTCTTTCAACAGATATGGTTGGACCTAGTGAGAAATGATATAGGTATTTATAGCCTCACTAAGCTATAACCTAAGCTATGACCTCTTGGGAAACACATTAAGTTATAACCTTTTGGGGAAAAGATTTGATGATGATGAACCTCCTTCAACCGCGAGGATACCTATCAATTTTGTATAAAATTTAACAAGGGTTGATCAATATAGATGGCAATCTAGCTGAGGGTTATCGATTTGGTTGATGGAGATCAGCAACTACATGTTTCATCGCCATACGTATATCATGGTATTGTGCCTTTCATAAAAAAAAAGAAAAAGTTTATATAAATGTGAGGCTCTAAACAATCAAATCAGGATGCTAAGCAAAATTTTCACTATAAGAGGTTGTTTTGATTTCAAAAAATCCTCAAATTGATCATCTCGACTTCAAGATGCCTTGGTACGAGAAAAAAAAATGGATTTCGACTGTATCTTGTAATGTATTTTTGGATAATTTTCAAGATTTTCATGTTTTTATAGATTTGTTCGAGCTGCACTATTTTTGAAACTTTAAATTTTATAATTAGAGATGGAAATAGACTTTAAGGCTCACAAAGATTTTCGGTATTGAAACCACTTTTTTCAATACTATTTGGAGGTGTTTTTTTGCTTTGATTGTTTAGAGCCCCTTCATGCTCTACTTTGATTGTTTAGAGCCACTTTGATTGTTTAGAGCCTTGGCTTTATGCAAACCGCACCTACATGGCAGTTGATTTCCATCATCCAAAACAAAATTGAGAGTGTAACGATGTTTACACTTTGAGCCGGTGTTCGCAAAATCGGCCGGTCCGAACCGGAACTGGCTGATTATATCGGTATTGGCAAGGTACTGACTCTGGTTAAGGCCGGTTTTGCGGTACTACTCAATAGATGTCCCTCTCCAAAAAAACCCAGTACCAAAACCCGACGGTTCGATGTCGAATATGTGGTATTTTCTTAAAACCGGTTGGTTTTCAGCTAATCGGACCGGTTCGTCGATATAATGACGTTTTAGAGTAAATAACGGTAATTTATAGATAATGGCATTATTTTGAAATATATACCATTATATGTAGTAGGAAAACTGTGAATCCAAATTTTCACCTTTTTTTATTCGGTTTTTGGCTATTTTTTGGTTTTTTTCATGTTTTAATGGTTTAAATCACTATATAATGAATATAAAACAAGTAATTTGGATTTAAACATTGAAAAAAAAAAGAGTTTCTTGGATTGAAATGGTGGATTTTTTCGGTTTTTGAAAATTTCCACTTTTTTTCAATAATCTCTTCAATGCTTAATGTTTCTTGAAGAAAATTGAAAGGTTTGACTGCTATTCGAAGTATTTAGTAGATTCAAATTTTAATTTGTTCAGAAAAAAAAATCAAGGGTTTATTTTTGCCCTAAAAGCTGTTGCTCCGAGAACCTGTGCTCTAAGCAAAAATGATGATTTTTTGTCCATTTATTGGTCGTTTTTTATCAAATTCAGTTGCAGATTTCGATCATTGGGGCTTCATATCTCAAATAAAATTGGCATATTTATTTACGATTGAGTGAATTTTTTCATATGAATTTTTTCATTGCACCATATCATGAAAAATTTATAGATCTGAAATTTCTGCCTTTTCTTCAATTAAATTAAAAATATCAAATATTTTTTGATGATATTTGGTGCTTTTGAAAGATGATCGAAGCGTTTACAATGTATGTATGTTCATTTGTTCGATTATCCAAACATTGACGGTCGTTTCTTGCTCGAAATGTCGCTTCATTTTTGGGGTTTTTGAAAAGTCAATTTTTCTAAAAAAGATATAATGTTTAAAAAAATTATGTTTTTTAATGAAATTGGATAGTGTTTTTCTATTTTGCTTAATAAAATTATTTTAATAGAATTATGATTTTTAATAAGATTACGTTTTTTGATAAATATGGGAATTGTTTTTCTATTTAGCTTCATTACAAATATAACTATATCAACTTAAAAAAACATAATTAAAAAAATCGAGCAACATTATCATGCACTTATCAAAAAGAAGAATCTATTTCATCAAAAAAATAATTTTATCAAAAGAATAATATTATTAAGAAAAATAGAAAAACAATTCCCATATTGTCACGCCCCAAGAATTTATAATACTGATATTCTTGAGATGGGACAGTCAAAACATATATGCATCTCTTTTTAGGATAAATTTACAATAGCGAAATCTTACAAAGTAACAAAAGAAAATTTAAGCACAACTACAATATCTTCCAGAGTTGATCCTGACGAGCACTCAAAATGAAACTGTAGTTATCCTGAAAAACAATGTTAACCATAATTTGATGAGTTTGGCTACTCAGCAAGTGATCATCATAATCCTAAAAATAATCATCGTTGAAAGATATCAATATTCTCAAAAAGAAGATCTATTAACAGAAATGCATTAACAGTTTCACTTTAAAAAATGCATAATTAAGTATAATCCGAATAATTGAAATGCATATATCATTTTAACAGCAGTGCATAATTCAAATGATTTCATAAATTACCCTACTGACGTCCCAAGTAAGTCACATCTATACCCCATCAGCGTCTTGATGTATCCACTTAATCCCTATCGGCCTCCTAGATAGGTCCACTTAATCCATGCAGGTCCACTTATACCTCACCGACGTACAGGATGACTCTACTTAATCCCTACCAACGTACCGGATAGGTCCACTTATACCTCATCGGTGAACCGGATGAGTCCACTTGCATACTTAAAGTATTTCTAGATCTCTTCAAACATTCGAAAGCAGCAATACCATGTACTCAACATATAACTGAAATTATTAATATGAATTTCACTGAAACCATTAATAACAGTCACTTTCAGAAAGGTAGCAGTTCGTAAAGACATTCTAGCATAATTGCTAATCTAGTATGTATAGAAACACTCTTATAGAAATCCAAGAATACGGATTATCACAATTTATGGGATGTCAATTTGTAAATAAACATTTCGAAGACAATGCTATAATCAAATGCAAAAATATCCGTTTTCAAATAATAAGGCAGTCATTTGCACATGAAATTTACAATGTCTAAATTTTCAAAAACAGTGGAAAGAAATCTCACAATTTTACTAAAAGCAGAAATATCACATTTATTTTTAATAATTTTACAATATCTAAAATTTTCTAACAATAGACAAGAAAAATAAATAAATTTAATTTTCTAAGAATTTACAGCATTTAAGATTTCTAACATAGATAAAATATCACAATTTTATTAAAAAGATTATTTTTCAAAATAATGAGGTCACTTGCGCTTAAAATTTATCGCGCCTAAAATTCTTGATATTAAGCAGAAATAATTATTTCATTTCATTTTTAAAAAGAACGGATTATTTTTCAAGATAATAAAGTCACTTACCTAAAATATTTGAGAGGGAGCTTCCGATAAAAATTTGGCTAGGGAGAGGAGCTCACTGTGTTTATAAGAGGGAGAGCGAGAAAGGAGTTGTTAAGCGACGTCCTACCTTTAGTCCTATTTAATTTCTTTAAAACACCATCACCTCATACATGAGGTGATACAAACCACATCCACTAAAGGACGTGGCAGAAGATAAGAAAAGTGAAGGGTAAAAAGATATACAAGTAGTGATGGTCCCTAAGGACCATAATTCCTATATGAACCATCATACTATAAAGATTTTTTTTTTTTATTTTTA